TTTTTTTTTTTTGCCCCCTTGTATCCTTGCAGACCAATTAAGTTTCTGAATTGTGAAATGCTGAACATGATAGGGAAAAGGATATTCAAATACATTAAATATAATCTTTTCCTTATATCAGAGGGCTATTAAGCATGATCTTTAACCGTTTGGTGAATCCTTCTGGGAGAGACTGAAATAAATTTGGGAAAGGCTGAGAAACGGAATGTGACACTTCGGCCAAGATGTCCGGTCAACACTGCCACAAACACACTGCGAGGCTCTGCCCCCCGCCCCGCATCAACACCCCTTCCCCCAGACTGAAGAAAAGCCCTGCCTCTTAAATTGCAGGAGATCTTGGTAACACACGGCTCGCACTTGTGTACACAGCAGAATCATTCAAGTGGGCCAGTCGGAGCTGCTTTCCGTCCGCACTAGAAACCTGCTTCAAGCTGGTTATGTCGTGGACACTGAGCTCGCTTCCACTTTGGCCAAGACCACTGAAAGAATCAATTACTCATAACTGATCCAGTCTGGAAACGTCCTAGGTATGGCTGAGGCATCTAAGATCATCTCGAGAGTCTTTCAAAACAAATTTCTAAACCCAACTTGGAATTTATAAAGTGGACATTTTGTTGTTGTTATTTTTTAAAGACCACTGATTCAAATGAATTTTTCCCAGTAATTTTTTTCCTCCCCCAATTTTGATGGAGTGCTTTTTACTCTTAGTCTGGTTTTTACAGGAGAACTTATCTATAAAATAAGATCAGTTTACCACAAGATGCATTTGGTGTAAATAAATATGTAGAGTCACAAATCATGTTTGGGAAATTCTCAATTATTGTGTGTTTAAGTTATGGTGTTTGCAATCATTTTGGTATTTTATGGAGCATCCAAAAAGAAACCGAATCCATTTGTCCTAACTTCCTGTTGCTGCTTGCTTTGTGTAGTATTTATTAGCTATAGAAGTCAATAGCTTCCACAGGAATGGGCTATGTTCACTTGGTTACTCAGAAAACAGATGGTTATTTGCACATAAACTGAGGAGCTTAGGGGGGAACGTTTAAGGTGTAAGAATGCGAAGGCTGTGGTGAAGTTGTCTGAGTTGGCTAAGTGGCTTCCCCAAGGATAGTGTCATATTTTACAATCTCTTCCTTGGGCATAAACTCGGTTTGTTTACAAGACATCGCATTCTGCATGATTTACACACTCACGAAAGTGGAGTATTAAAATCAACTTCCTTTGAGAAGTAAATTTTAACTTTTACTACTCTCATCTCATTTGTGATGGAAACCTAGCAGCTCCAACTTGGAGAGAAGTACTTGGCATATTGGAGGGATGGTCAATGTTCCTCCCCTCTTAATAAGGGTCCACAGATCAAGCAAGGGGTGCACTTTCAGGCAGAGCAAGGGAGTGGTTTATATGCGTTTCGGGATTATTGGATTTTCGTGAAAACACGTTTCTCTGCTTTTGCCATGTTTGCTTTTTATTTTATTCCCAAGCATTAGGTCTCATTTTCCCTTCTCCAGACGAGATTTTGATCAGCTTTTAGTAAATCATCTGGACCAGGGTCGCATTGAACTGCTTCTGATCAGCAATCAGCAGCCCTGTGTTTCCCCCCTGGCTCACATTTATGACACGTTTTCTTGCCAGTTAGAATAACGGGGTGTGTGAATAAAGCAAAGAAATACAACTGTTTGGTTTATTGTGGTTAAAATACAACTCGTATAAAAAGAACACTTGAAGTGGTTTTCTCACAGAGGTCTTCAGTAGATGGAACTTATTTTTATTTATTCTTGCCTGTAAGTTTGAATTAACTTCCATACTGAGAGAAAAGAAAATGTTCCTAAAGCAGGACATTGATCACATTTCTAACCGTGTTTCTCATTTCCCTGCAGAGAGGAACTTCTACACCTAAATTAAACTAAACTCTAAAGAATATCTCCTTATAGATGAGTAGGGTTTTGAATATTCCCAAGATGGAAATTATTTTTGAAAAATAATTTTATTATTATTATTAATTTTAAAACCTCCCCAATACAGAATTTATTTTGTATTAACTTCTCTTGCTCATTATGTTACAAAAGGGGAAGCCACTGAACTCAATGAAATATGTGTGCACTTTTGGAAACAAACAGGTCCAAAGATTATAAGGCTTCAAGAAAACTACATCATTACAGTTAGCCACAAATCTAACTGCCAGCTAAAGAACTTGATATGCTGTTTTATAAAAGTGAGCACGGTTAGCTGTCAGCCCATTCTGGTCTTCACACTTTGTTTAGACCAAAGCCTTGGCATGGTGTTGGATAGACCCAGAGGTGTGGCTTCTTTGGCAGAGATGGCTGGTGGAACAGGAGTCCTGTTCCCTCATGCGAATGAGACTCAGTGATGTTTGCCAGCACCCCCAGGTGAAATTAAATGAAAACTAAGCGCCATTTACCTGAAGAAGTTTGGTGAACTGCTTCTTCCCCCGGACTGCCTCTTTCCAACCTTGCTTCATTTCTGAAGAGGGTGGGTCATTCTGTGGTGTAGAGAAATGAAATCTGTAATAACAGCTTTCCTTAGAGGCCAGTAGGAATTTCAGGGGTGAAATCTCAGAATATTCGTATTTAGGCAACTGCCTCTTACCAGTCTCTGAAATAGTTGACAGAAGTGCCTACTGCATATATTTTAAAAATGCATTCTCTAAATACCTCATGAGTGCTTTCTGTAGAGATTCTCCCTCACTGTTTATGACATTCAGAATTCATTAACACTTCTCACTACTCTGAAATCTTTAAATCAGTAACAACATGTATTACAGGGCAAAAAATGCAACTGTCATGTGTCTCATTTTGCAGTAGTCTATTGACTACGACAAATTTTATGGAGAGTGGAAAAGTTGACAGTTGAGAGCCCAGAGAAGAAATCCTTAATATGTTTTGCACCCCAGCCCTGCTGAGAATTCCCCTGGGAGCAAAGAGAAGCCTGTATTCAATGGTTTCTCTTCGTTTCTATGTAGCCAATATATGCTTCAGTTTAACAAAATGTGCAGAATAAAAACAAAGTAACTGGAGGTGTGTGAGTCTCAGCACAAGAGGATTTTCTGTTGGACTAAGGACTTTAATGGTTTTGTTATGGTCAGTATTTACAGCTAAGTTATTTTGGCATAGTGCATGTTTAGAAAATTCTAATTCAGATTCTCTGATTTTCTTGTAAAACCTAGAATTTTGCATTCGTTCAAATTGTCTCTTTCACAACAAAATGCCTAGAAACACTTTATTCATACACTGAATGGTCCATAAAATGTTCTCCAGGATTTAAGAATAGTAACACAGGCTTTCTAAATACAAGGAAGGTAAACAGAAACAGATTCTTTAGCTTCAGAACACATCCCAGTGCTGACAAGAGCAAAATGAAAAACTTTCTTAGAGTTTGGGATCACTTGGAGACAGGCCTAGAGAAAGAAGTAGCAATAACTTATGAGACTGATTGTTGCTTTATTAACTTTGATTTGACTAGAAAGAGGAAGACTCAAAACATATCTACAGAACTGGGCCCAAGGGATAGAACTAGGACCACTGACTGTCATGCTATAGGACCCAGGTTAGGAAGAAGAGACACTATAGCTCAACAACAAGAATATTCATGTTTATAATGAGCTTTCTTAGCTGGTATAAAGTTTTTTGACCTGGAGAACATTTGATCACCCAGGAAGCTTGTCTTAGAAGAGCTGAAGCTTGAAGCTCAAGGGTGGTTCTTTTAATCATTACAGCCAAATATCTCTGTGGTCCTACACATGGGGACACTCAGAGCCTTCTGTGAGGCTCATGTTTTTCCTGTATCCTACTCAGATGGGGTTAGAAACCATGTAGACAGTACATTAAATAATATTAGTGACCAGGCTGCGTGATCTGTACCCGTCCCTAAAGAGAAAGGTGTCTTTTTCTTTTCTTCCATTCTCCTTTTTCTTAGTTTAAATTCCCCTCCCGAATACTAAGAAGTCAGTATTATGTCTCATCGGGGACAAAGTGGTTGAATTGCTTTTCCAGGGGTGTCTCTGACTCATTATGGCTGTGCTATAGGGCGAAGGTAATTAAGGCTGAAAAACTCACACATTGAAAACCTACATCTCCCACCTGAAGGATGGAATTTCACGGGCACCGATTCCACGGATTAACTTAGATTTCTAGGGCTGCCAATCTGGAAAGCTTTCAGTGGCAAAATTTTTAAATTTTAAAAAGGGGAAAACTACCGAATCTGCCAAACATCACTATATTGTCCATAAAATCAAATGAACTCCTTTCTCTGAATGTTGGCCTCTAAGGAAAGTGCATGCTGATTACTTTAAACTTATCACTAATTCTTTTAGATGCTTTCTTCCAGGTATTTTTCACCTTTTAAATATTTTATTAAGAATGATCAAGTATTTTCTATTAAAAAGTTGACCTTTGGGCTAAATTAATGGTTAATATTTTTTAAAAAATATGGAATATGGCAACTTTGGAGCCAGAATTTTCTCTTATTTCTAGCATGCCTAGAGGCCTAGTAAAGTGAATTGGAATGTTATATATTTTAGTACTATTTTGTTGGGAGAAATTTTTCCTACTTTTGGACATTGATGTAATATTTATGTATTTTTCAAGAAACATTTACATGAAACCCAGTCTGGAATGTTGACAATGAAAACCAAATAAGCAGAATAAAAATGCAACTCGAATATGAAAAGGAACCAAAGTACGATTATCAGTGAAAGGAGTGTAAGAGCTATAAAAAGGTGATCTGAAATACAAACTATCATCCAAAACATACAGAGGGGAGGTGTTTCTAATAGGCATTTAATGAGGAATAAGTTGCTGAAATTCCAGTTATTGCAGAGTTGGCTGGACGGAAATGAGAATGTGGTACTAAAAGAAAAATACCTTTTGATTAACTACAACTTCAAAATCAAATTAAATACTGAAACCGATTATAAAGAGTGGGTAAAATAACAAAGTCCAAAGTGTGACCGGTGGTCACCTGTGTGACATTTCTCCAGCCCAGGGCTTCTGTTTGTCTTCTTCCTGGGGGAGAAGGCGAATCTCAAGTGTACACACTGTGAAGGAGGCCTGTGGGCTGCTCTGTCAATGACCACACACGAAGGTTGATACGCTGGTTGTCACAGGAATCCCGTGCTTCTCAGCATACGAACTTGTCTTGAATTATCATCTGTGTACAAAATATTTGTTTACCCATATTCGCATCCATCACTGAAGTAATGATGCACTTCAAATTGTGAATTACCATCACTCTCGTCCTAGTATGTCTGAAAACTGAGTTCTGTCGGGGCCAAGTCTCAGTGATGACCCAGGTGTAGAGAAATGCGAAGTACAGGTATGGAAACATCAGCAATCTCCAATTCCTTCACCAGTCACCCTCCATTCATCCACTGATCCATTCCCTCTTCACCCACAGAGCATCAGAGATGGTCTCAGCGAGGGTGCAGCTCTAGATGGCTAGAAAAGAGACGCAGCACCTCTGAGCTGTATCAGCCTCAGAGGTGCTGTGCCCAGAATGGGCTTGCGACTCCTAGTTCAGGACTGTTTGGGGACACGAACAGTTTTAATGGAGTGGCTTAGTGCTTTTAGCTTGAGGCACTGGGCAGCTTCAAAGTACTGAACAATTATGGAAGAGTACTGCTGAGCTAAATATCATTAACTCTTCTGTGGTTGAGAAACGTAGTAGAGCTTTGAGCTCCTAAGTATAAGTGTGCAACAGACAAGGGCTAGAGGTTCTTCACATTCAACTGCTGTGCAGCAAGAACACAGGGCAAGCGCAGTAACTGTGAGCTTCAGAGATATGAAGTAAAAATTGTCTTCTTTTTCTTCCTGTGCATGTGTGTGTGTGTGTGTGTGTGTGTGCGTGCGCGCGCGTGCGTGTGTATCATGCAGTTCGTGTTCTGGTTCCACTCCCAAGTATGGCTGACAGAGATGACCAGGCTTTATTCAGGGTTAAACGTTGACAGCATTGTACAGACCTTGACTATTGACTCTCTTGAGACATCTAAACGGGATGGCAGCAGTAGCTCAAGTTCTTCTCCTAGTATGATTGTATTTATTAAAGCTCAGAAGAGATTTTTTCGGACCAGGCAGAGTGCTGCATGCTTGTAATACCATCTGTCTGGTAAACTGAGATGGGAGGATTGAGAGCTCAGAAGTAGGCAGAGTAATTTAATGAGATCTTGTCTCAAAACCAAACAATAAATAAATAAAGTGGAATAAAAGAGAGGCGATTTCCCAACACCGAGGGATGTTTAACGTCCGAGGTGACAGATATGCCCGTTAGCCCGAGCTGGTTATTACACATCATAAACATGCAGTGAAATGTGGCACTGGGCTCCATAAGTATGATTACCATGTGCAGCTAATAATAAAAATATATTCCAACAAAGAGCTTTGCAGTATGCCAGGTGCTTTCTACATAGGTTCCCTTGATTCTTTCACCCACCCTTGGAGAAGGCATTATTATCCTCTTACAGCTGGAAAAATTGGGTTGTGGAGCTGACACAAACAGCCTGGGACTGGAGGGTGGCAGAGCTGGGACTGGAATGAGTCCTGTAGGACTCCTGGGCCACCCCTGGTGTCCTTATGATGTGGCGCTGGGGCTACTCTTACACACTCTGCAGTCCCAGAAGGTCAGGTGCTCTACCAGGACAGTGGGGCTACTGAGTGTGGGGACATCTGCCTGTATTTGATCATATGACTACTAATTTAATTAGATTACTGTGGCCTCTAATTTCTTTTCTTTGGAATGTTTAAGGAGACTTTCAAAAATGAGTAAGGTGTTTTATCCATCCCTAAAGACACCAGCACATTTATATCTAATGTAACACGAATGTACAATGATTGGATTTCCTTTCCCTTCCCTTCCCTTCCCTCCTCTCATTTTCCCTCACCTCCCCTTCCCTTTTTCTGGTTTGGTTTGTTGGTATGTTTCCAGAATTTAGAACAATGCCTGCTATATGCTGAGTGCCAAGAAATATTACTGAACAAATATAATGAGAAACATTTTGAAGTATAATTTTAATCATAGAAAAGTATCATTTCAAGAAATCTTACGGAGCAACCAAATTGCGTTCCATTTATCAAGTAAAGCACCAAGTGTCTCTCAAATCTGAAGGGATCAAGTCTGCATCCAAACTCTGTGGTTTCGTTGTTTGGCTTGTTTGGTGTGATTATTTATGTTCTGCTCTAAGTTTTACAGATTTTTCATGTTCCTTTGTTTATAGCTAGCATTGTGTCTGGCAGTGCAGTTCACTCAGTTTAATAAGATGGACAGAATGCTTAGCTCAATGCCTCACACACAGTGGTAATAAATACATGTTTCTCCTCCTCTTTATGACTTAATGGCACATCAGCTTAATGTGCCACTGGTGATATTTGTAAAATTTCTGGACTAACTGTGAGATAGAGAGAGAGAGAGAGAGAGAGGGAGAATCATCCAGGGAGATGGGAAGAGCTTTCATTTGTTTTAACAAAGTACATTATCTCCAAATGCCAAAATGGGTTTTCCATTAACAAAGAGGACCTTCAGATTCCAACCAAGAAGACAAGTAGCTATTCCTTTGTTGAAAGGTTTCATAAAATATATTTCTTTGCATTCAGACTCTCAGAAGGCAAGGAGCTATTTCTTTGTTGAAAGGTTTCACAAAATATATTTATTTTGTCTTTATTTTGTTTGACTTTGGCTAAAGATGGAACATATATAAGAGAACTGCTTTAAAAAAATAACTGACGTGTAATCATCAACATCTGAATCTGGGTCTAAATACTTTATAGTCTCATTTCTTTGGTACATTTTAGGTACACAGAAAGTTACATTCATCATTGGCATCTTGCACCTTTACATGGCAGGTCTTGGTTCTTATTTTTTCCCCATTACCCTGCCTTCCCTTCACCCCCTCTACCCTTCCCTATTTACAAAGACTTTGCTTCCATTTCTTTCCCTTTTTCTCTTATTTTTTCTTTTTCCTTCTTACCTTTCTCCCACCCCTCCCACTTCCCTACTCCTTTAGATCTTTTTTCCTATTATAAAATATCAATTATACATTTTGATCCTTATTTACACTTTTAGTTTATTACATAGTCTCATTTTTTGCAGCTGTTTTTCATGTCCTCCCATCTCCTGGACTTGAAATGACCACTGTGTGTATGTAAAGTTGCTTCTGGGAGCTTCTCAACATCTAGCCCATGTTGTGTTACAATTACTTTTGGCATCTAGAGGCAAAATTTGCCTTTCAACCCAAACTTAACTTTTCATTTTTAATCCTCTGCCTTTGAAACAACATATTGGCAGATTGTTTGCTCCTTTCTGAAGTTCTGGGAGTTCTCTGGAGTTTTCAAATCTACTTTTCCCACAAGCCTCATATGGAAGTTATTGCTCATTTGCATCTCTCCCACATGCTTCTTGCTTTGTGTCTCAGAACAAATTCCCAACTTAGTGGTGCGAGCTGTCCGATTACCCCGTCCGTAAGCAGTTCTAGTCATTGTCTATTGCTCTGCGGCCAGACTTCTTCCAGCCCTAATCCTGCTAACATCTGTAACCTCAGTTAGAGGAAGGTGGTTTGGGCTTTATTCTGGAATGCTACATTGATCCAGTATTAAGCATTATAAACAAACAACTGGTGGGTTGGAGTTTTCATATGTCATCGCAGTGTTTGGGACCCTCTAAGGCTCAGGCTTAGTGTTTGGATGGTGTTAGAGTCAGGGAAAGATCAGAACTTCGTGGTCAGAGCGCTCTCATTGAGTGGAGGGAGAAATGAACAGGAAAACTAGGAAACTCACACAGGTAGGCTCTGTGATCAAATACGAAGAGACCGATCTTCATTAAAAAACATGGAAGTACGCTGCCCACAACACGAATCAGTAAGGTACTCTGGCTGTGGCTTCTTAGCTATACACACTCCTCAGTATTTTCAATTCACTACCCTCAGCACAAAATGATGGGCTGGATACTGGCTTCTCCTTTTAAACCTATGATTATGGACCTTTGCACACTATTTGTGGGAAGGAATGTAAATTAGTACAACCCTTATAGAAACCAATATGAAGGTTTTTAAAAAACACATATTAAATCTACTAAGTGGTCTGACAACCCAACTCCTGGGTAGGTAGCCCAAAGCAATGACTTTAGTATGCTGCATGGACATCTGGTTTCCCATGTTTATTGCAGCATTATGGACAGTAACCAGGCCATGGAGACAATCCAAGTGTTCATCGATGGATGGATGAGTATAGAAAATGTGGTGTATCTACACAATGAAATACTACCCAGACACAAAAAGACGAAACCCATCTTTTGGGACAATGTAGGTGAACTTGGGGGACATTGTGTTAAGTGAAATAAGAAAGACACAGACACACAAATATTGCCTGATCTCACTCATTGTGGAACCTAAAAATGTTTAAGCAGAGAGTAGAATGGTGGTTTCCAGAGGCTGGAGAGGGGAAGGAGGACAGCCGGTGAAGGGCTTCCCCTTCCTGTGGCTAAAGATGCTTCTTTACTTCCATTTGCCCATTTATTGCTTTTCGTTTGGTGGTATTTTTTCCTCACTATTTTCTTCATTTCATACTTAAATAAAATCTTCAACATGTAGTCATTTTCATATCTATGAGTCACAATTTTACTCCTTCAATTAAAACTATAACTTATTTACATATTCTGTGGCTTTAATAAGTTGCTCCTTCTCAGTCTCTGCGCGGTATGGGATGTATTCACATATGTAGAAGAGTTTGCAGTGATACATACAGGGTTTCTTGCTGGAACTGTGGGGTGTTTCCTGCCAGGCTCTGTGACGAGGAAGCTCGCCCAGCACTGGTAGGTGGAGTGGCCCTGCCTTTCTGTGCTCCTGCTCCACTGTACCCTCACCGCAGGACACGTCCCTTCAGCCAGCCCTGGGCTATTTGTGACTTATGTCGCCTCTCTGGGTCCTTCATCTACATCATTCCTTCTCCTGGTGAAGCAAAGCCCAAAGTGGCAGAGCTTCTAGTCTTCCACACTGGCTGATAGTAATGCAGGGTTTTGAGGTGTTTGTGGTTTTGAATGAGCAATAGTTTTTAGGATGGCTTTCTTTCCAATGAGGCCCAAATTGACACAGGTGTGTTCCTGCGTTAAGTCACACCTTGCAGTGCAGTTGTCTATGTTCCACTGAGAACTCTCCTGGGAGCACAGAGTAACGGGGAGGCATCGGGCGTTATCTTTTGTTGGGTCTGAGTTCTTGTCTGGACACCATATCCTGGCCTCTGCCCTTCTCAGATTTCTTTGTTCATAGATGGGTTTCTCCCCTCTCTCTCTGGAAAATTAAAATTTCCATGCTGCTCGCAATGATTTATTGAGATAAAACACGTACAGCTAAAATTGCTAGTGTTGTCCTTACTTTCTAGTCATTTTTCTATTGCTGGAACAAAATACCTGCAGCTTACTTATTAAAAGAGTAGAAGTTAATTTGCCTTGCAGTTTTCAGTGGGTTCAGCCTATGGTTAGCTGGTTCCAAGGCAGGAACAGCACAGTAGAGAGGTGGAGGAAAAGTGCTCAACCCGTGAAAAGGCAGAGAGAGAAGGAAGAGCTGGTAAAAAAAACAAAAAGATGCTTCTGAGTCAGGCCCCCCACTGACCACCTCCAATCAGGTTTCACTCTGAATAACACATTCAGCTTTGAAGTTACCAATGGGTTAACCCACTGATCCAGGCACCTTCCAACACGTCCCTCTCTGAACACGTAAGGCTTTTGGGGAACATTCGAGATTTAAAGCATAAGAGTGTGTATTTCATGTTTTTCTCACATTCCTTCCTGTTCTTTATATAGTTGAATATAAAAGCAATAATAGTAGTTGATCTGGCTTCTATTGCCTTTATGTCATTTTAATTTTTAAAAATTTGTCGCCATACTGTAGATTCTGTAGAATGATCTGTCTAGAACACAAACATGATCTTGTTCAGTTGTAGCAATGGCCATCAGAAAAAGATACTCTGCGTTTGGTCGGTGCTTTAATCGGAAGTTGACTCCTTCACTGCTTTTTCTAATTCCTCTGACTGCCCAGTGCCAGGCCCTAGAGCATTGTCTTCTACATTGCCTTCTTTGGCTAAGACATTTCCAATCTTCTTTCATTTACTAGCTTGGTCTAATTCCTATTTATTCTGAATGCTCCTATTCAGAATTTACTTCCTCTAAGAAGTGTTTTCTCACCCGTAGACCTAGTCAGAACCCCCATCTTCTCATCTGTGGTCTGTCATAGGGTGTTAACATTATAGAGTTACTTTTATGTGTCTGTCTTGTGCAATGTGACAGCCCCAGCACCTAACAGGAGCTCATGTGAATGTTTGAAATTGTTGTATAATTTCTTGTCATCAAATATTTTACCAGGTAAGAGTGCTTTACAGACATTTTTATTGGACCAGGCAACTTTATCTTATTAAATTGTCACTATAATCCTTGAGGTATGTATTTGCTTTATTTAATGAATAATGAAATTGAGGCCTGAAAAGTTGAATAACTTCTACTATTACTATTAAATGGCCCCAATTAAGACTTAAATCTGGATTTTTCAACTTTTAAAGTCCATGATCTTAATCACCATGGAAGATATAGCAATTTCTTTATATCGTATGTTACATGGTCACTTTTTAAAAAGTTTAACTTCACCGGATTACAATTCAGTTTTACCTAGACGTATGCTCTATGGGTTTCTTATTGCCTTTGTAGCAAATCACCACAAACACAGTGGCCTAAAACAGTGTCTCTTTGTCATCTTCCAATGGGGTCAAAGACCAGCATGGGTTTTTCTGGCTAAAGTCAAAGTATAGGCATGGCCACATTTCTTCTGGGGTCTCTTAAAAGAGTATTTGTTGTTTTCCTTTTTTTGCTTTTAGACAACTCTCATTCTTTGACTCATGGCCCCTTTTTTCTACCCTTGAAGTTAGCAAGGGGGCATCTCTCTGACCCTATTCCTTTGCTATATTCTCCTTTTGACCCTGTCTCCCTACTGTATGTTTAAGGACCCTTGTGATTACTATGGCTGCTTGGAAGACTCAAGATGTTCTTCCTGTTGTGAGATCATTTCCTTAGCAACCTTGATTCCCTTGATTCTCTCTGCAGTTCTGAAAAATCTCAAAGGTTGCTGAGAATGGAAGGTAGACATCTTGAAGAGCATTATTGGGAGTAGGAAACATTATTATACTTCACACACACACACACACACACACACACACACACAAACACACCATTCATAGGTTTTGCTTCTCTAAGCATCAAACCTTGGCTGAAGTTTAGGAATGAAACTGCAAAAGTGGCAGAGTCTGAAGTGGGTGTGGACAAGGATCTCAGGGAGACACCTAGCTTGAATGTTTGGTATCCCAAACATTGAATCACCCCTGGGGACTGACATTAATGAATTATGACATACTAATAAAGACACTAGAATGCAGATTCTTCCTTTGCAGTGGAGAGCTTATACATTGAGACTGTGATCAGGGATCCAGATATTCTCTTGCTGAAAAAAAGTAACTTAGATTAAAGATATTAACTTTAGATGAAATCAGAGTTAGGAAGATGAAGGATCTCAAGCATACTTCCTCTTGTCTAGGACAGGTACGTTAAATTATACCTGCACTTAAGGATTATTCAGTTTCCCTCATGGACAAAAGGTTCAGTCTTGGGCCCTTTGGTCCTTATAAAAAGAAAGTGGTCAAATCACAGAATATCCCTGTTCTCTGATGCACAGAAACAATGTTTTATGTACTCACATGTCCTTTTTTTTGGGTCATTTCTATACCAAGGTTATACTTCCTAAACATTTTTCCCTAGAATCCATCTTTTTCAAAGCCCAGAAATCCTTGATTTTTTGTTGTTGTTTTTGCTTCTTTTTGAGATAACGTCTCTTACAATGTCTTCAAGAGGTAGGTACTCTGGGAATTTGATATTTCTAGTTTAACTTTTAGAGAGACAACTTCTTTTTCTCATGGGAAATTTCTTTTATTGGGTACCTTTGATGGCTAACAGGATGTAGGAACCACATATTACTTATCCTGGGTTCATCAAGCACTCCTCCTGTCTTGTGTTTATATCATTGTGATGGTTAAATCTATCTGTCAACTTGATTGGCTTAGGAGCTGTGTGGGGTATTAGTAAAGCACGCTTCTGTGTATCTCAGCGGATCATGGAGGTGTGATCTCGGGTAATATATAAATGGTCTCCTCTTCTCTGGCTCTGTTTCCCTGCTTTATTTCATGACCACCATGTTCTAAGCAGTTTTGCTCCACACCCTTCCTCCATGTTGTTCCTGCCTTGGGGCCAGCTGTCCATGGACTGAATCTTCTGAAACTGTACCCAAATTAATCCTCTCCTTTGAGTTGTGAGTATCATTTATGTAGAGAAAGCTGATTGATACAACTGCTATAGGTGTGTCTTTTCTGCAATGAAGAAAGTGATTCTTTTGCCCCGAATCTGCCTCTAGCATTTACTGGGGGCTGGTCCTTTGTATCCTACCATTATTTTCCTAAGTGTGATTCATGCCTTTCACATTGGAGGTGCTGGACTTCTCAGCCAGGGACCTCCCCAGAAAACTTTTTCTGCTTATTTCACCAAGCACAATCTTTGCTCTTTGGGCCCTTTTGATGATTTTTAACTGCCATCCTTAAAACATTTATGAGCTTTCATAGTCTTTCTTTAAGGAAGAAACATTTTCTTAAAATCTAACAGAAGACTAGTTGAAAGGAAAATTTGCACAATGTATAAAATGTGCTTATTGGAGCTATTTTCATAACTATCCAGGTCTTCTCCTTGGTATCGATGGAACATTTATACCTAGATGTCCTTTATTGTTCTTCAAAACAAAGAGCTTTCACAGATAAGAAAAATAATTAAGACTGTCATCTTTTGAGATCCATCTTCCCTTTATTATCAAAGAAGGTAGGGAAAAATAATTTAACAGAAACAACTTATAAAAATGGCAAATTGTTGAGCTTTTTTTTTTTTTCCTTGCTAAAAAGGCAAAACAGTGTCAGAAACACAAAGTTTTAGTGTTGACTTAACAGGACACCCAGACCTTGGGAAAAATCTGGGCGATAAATATTCTGGCAAGTTCTTTGTGTCTTTTGCGTGTAAATAATGCTATGGGAGACAGCAACACTTTCTGTGTAGGACGCTGAAGGGAATGGTGTGCACGACAGAGTCTTCTAACAGGAATATTTTGCCAGTATAATAACAAATGTTACAAAGCATTGTGGAATCTGGGGAAATAGAAAAATTATATTAATCGAAGATATTATCATTCTCTTTCAGCATATTCCAACCTCAGAATTCATTATAAATGTTTGAGGAAACTTGTCTCTTGCTTCGATATGTACTAAACAGTCAGGGAACTGGTTCAGTGACAGTTTTAAAAAACATAATTCATAAATCAGAGGTGCCTTGATTTTTTTTACTTCCAGTAGTTTAATATTAATTTTCTTGGTCCTAATACAACTGCATTAAAAGTTCACTTTAAAGTAATAAAATTTCAGAAAAGAAAATAAATGATGGAAGTTTATAAGGAAATAGGGGTTTCTGTGTTACTTGGTTGGGAGTCAAAGCTTGTCCCTTATAAGTTACAATGTTAATTTTGGAAATGTTGATCTTTCTTAAAAGGACTTGAATTCTTGATGAAAAGGAATGCTTAAGTTCTGAAACGTTAAAGATCCATTTTCCAAAGAAAGTTTCCATAATAAATACTGTTTTGGGAGGTGGGGAGTTACCTTAGTAGAAGGAACGATTATTTCAGAGGATAAGGAAACTTTAAATTTGGATTTCCCATGAAAGAAAAGCAAAGGTGTTCCCTCCTCGCATCTAGCCAGTCTCCTGGTTGAAGGAAGTAATTAGATGAGGGAAAGGAGAAAAACCAGAATCTCTGGCTCCTCTGTCAGTTTCTGAGCCACAAAACTTTGGTTTGTTCAGTTGCTTCAAGCCAAGATGTGCAGTGAAAGCAGACCTCTCCCCAGCTGGCAGCTTATGGGTTACACAGGGAGTTACGGGGTACTGGTTAAATGAACATTTCTGGAGCTAGTCATCAACATTTTTGCCCCGGGTCCTCTGGATCTATGGCTCGGATCCCAGCAGGAGTGAGATTCTCAACCCAAAGAAAGCATTTCGGGACAAGTTACTCGCACAGTGCAGATCACAAGCGTGCTGTGGGCACTCATAAACCATTGTGCAGAGCCAGCGGTATGAGGTCCTATGGGGAAATGCATTCTGGGCGCGATCTAGCAGCTCCTGCAGCTACTCACCACGGCTTGTTCAGCACCCCTAAAATCACTTTCATTCGACCAGGCTATGAAGCATCTCCCGGTAGCGCACTGCCTTAGCCTGCGATCTTCTTGCCTTTAGGGAAGTGTCTTTAAAAAACCAAACTAGGTTTGCTATCTGGGATGATCGTCCCTCTCTCTTTTTTTTTATTTTTTTTTATTTTCTACTTTTACAAAAAACTTTGTTTCTCTACACTCCTTCCACTCTTTTGCTTTCAATGCATATGTTCATATTTTTTGTTTGTTTGTTTTTTTTAAGGTATTCACAGAGTCATAAAATTTTCTAGGCTTTGCAGGGAACCTCCAGTACTCAATATCACTTAGCCCAGGCTCATGCTTGATGAATGTGTCTCTCTCTCCTTGTCCTTGTTTATCCAAATCCTGCTCTGTTACCATGTTTTCAGAGATACAATTTAGCATCTCAGGAAGCAGGCTGTCTTTCTTGGGATGGCAACGTGTCTCTGTTGTTTCCCTAATTCCTCTTCCGATGTTCTGGCTTCTATTTCTTTTCTTGCCTTTCTGACAGCACCTTCTGATGGAACCACGTGTCGATCTTTTGCTTTCCTATATTTTTGTCTCCTGGGCCCTATTTTATTTCCACAAACATAGATAACTTTGTAGGTTACCATTTTCCCCTTTGTTTTCTTCTTTTGCTAGTACCCCCAACTCATTTTGAGTCCTTTTATTGAAAAAAAAGCAATTTCTTTCTTCAGATCTCTCAGTTAATCTTTCTTTCTGGGAATTTTAATTTCTTTGGGTTTCCTAAAGTAGAATAAATGCATGAATGAGATTTATTTTTCAAACTAATCTTGCTTTCAATTGGCAACTAATCAGTTCTCCTATCTTGGGTCATTCCTTGACAATGGTACCACTTCTTTGGAGCACAGTAAAGATCCTTACTTTCATTCATCAGACATCTAAGCGTGTTCACCCACACTCATCCCTGAAAGCATTCTTCCTTCATTGACTCATTCATTCATGTGAACATTGTAGCCATTTTTAAAGCAGAGGCATAAGAACTTTCAGTCCAGTAGGCATTTTTGATATAGGTAGACCAGAACTCATCTTAAAAACCCTGAATATGCTTAATATATTGCACATGAAAGTATAAGCTTCTTAAAACAGAGAACAGTTTTTGTTTTCAGCTTTTTATTTTTTGCGGGGAGCCTGTCCTTGCTATGTTGCTCAGGCTGTTCTTGTACCCCTGGGTTTAAGTAATCCTTCTGCTTGAGCCTCCTAAGTAGCTGGGAGTACAGGCATATGCTTCTGTGACCAATTTGAGACAAGTTTCCATTTGTATTTGTTGTCTCTAGAGTCTAATGCTGTCACTGACCCTGATAAACAATTGTTGAGTGTGAATGACTAAAGTAACAGTCTTTAAAATATGTCTGATTAAGTGAATGATACCATTCATGTGCAGCTAAAGGCCAACATAACAGCCAAATGGAGGTACTGACAACAAGTAGCAGTCAGGCTGGGAAATTTTATTTAGTAATATTCAAAATGGGAAAAAAGGCAGCAAATCATATTTTCTCTGTCTTTGATTCTCCTCCCAACCAAAGTAACATCTGCTTTTGCTTTCTTTACCGTGTGTGAGGGTGGAGGAACAAAGTTGAGTGAAATCATATTAGTGCTCTGGGTTGGGGTGACTGCGGGCTGGCCACCCAAGTGTCCTGTTGGAGTGACCACAGGTGCGCCGGCTGCTTCAGAGGAGGCACATTCAAATTTACGTCACACACTCGCAGAGTCCCTTTTGTGTATTTTCTCTGAAACTCAAGAATTTTGGGTCAGTTTCCTACAAATGCCTCACTGATGTGAATAGCAGCATCAAGTTGTACCTATGGTGGGAAGCACCATGTTTTCTCAGCTATCAAGTGAACATGGGGCTTCAAATTCATCTTCCTTTCCCTTCTCATCAGGATGTGTAAAAGCATTTTAGTACTTTGTTAATTTTATGAAAAATTCCTTTAATTTTCCTGCCGACAAAGTTTGTACTACATGCACAAACTTGATCAGGGACCCTATTTTTGTTGGTTTTTGTGAACTGAGTTGCTGAGATGTAGAGGAATCTGATCCTCATCAATGGAGAAGGCATTTTATGTGCTTGCTTGGAATTTAAATTATACTAAACAACTAAAATATTAAGGAGGAAAATTATTCTATTGGGAATCAAAGTATAATAGAGTTTAATGCATACCAGCATGCTATACACATCATTCCTTTTAACAAGTGTACGCAATGTGAACCTCTCTTCCCATTTTAAGCAAGTCTTCAAAGTTAAACATTATATCCAATGCCACAGATCCCTCATAGCACTGCTGGAATACCACTTTAGGGGTCTGCCTTACACCAAGTCTGGGGATCCCAACCTCTAGCCCGACTGCCTCAGAGAGTCTGTGGGAGAATTTAAATACTTCTATTAAGTTGGATGGGAGAAGTTGGCACGTTTGTTTTCATTTCTTTCTATCCTCAATTGAACTTCTACATGCAGACAAACCCACAGATGGTATCAACCGTACCTGTGAACTTTATCACATATAAGAATCACAGGTGCTATTCCATGGCGGTTCAGTAGTTGCAAATGCATAAAAATATTAACTTATCATTAGTGGAAAATTATAATGGTTTTTCTTAATAAGTTTGATATGCATATTTCAATAGAATTGTTTTCTTTTATAGCCTTCTACATTTTATATTTATTACCTTTGCTATTATCATTGACTTAAATGTTATGTTGACTGCATATGTATGTTTTTATTTTAAAAATTTAAAAGCTTCATTCCGAAATGAGCCTAGTAGCCCCCTCAAAGGACCCCCCTCCAAAGCCTTTGAGACTTCTTTTAAAACCTCGTTTTTCATCCATTATGTTCTTCTTGTTTTTGCCATAGCTAGATGCAAAGCAGAAATTTAATGATTTACACAAATGACAGCTATAGCAGGATTCAGTGTAGTGGTGAGAAAGAAAGAAGAAGTTTAGCTTCTAGAATATTCAATATATCTGTTATTTTCAAACACACGTGTAGCTGCAGAACCCTGAAAGGGATTAAGTCTTCATTTCCTACCAGGCGAGATCTCCAGACACATTCATTTCACACAGGCCAGTAGCAATTGGCAGATCGTTGTTTCTGTCTTTTCCTGTGGTCTTGCGCCGTGTTCAGATTATTAATGGTGCTCTGGGTTAGTTGATTCCTGAAGATAAACTTCTCAGTCAGCCTTCCCGCTTCCCGTCAGGCTGCCCAGTCCAGGGTCTGGGCTTTCTCTTCTAAGTTGTGTTACCAGTCATAAACCGAATGGCAGGTTCCAGAAACCCACCAGCCTTTGTTTACAGTCACATTGGTTGACCCATTTTCTTCTATTTATATGTTTATTAATTCATTAGTAAATACCAACAAATGTTTCGTTTGAGGAACCCACTAAGTCGCAGGTATTGTTTTTAGAAATTGGGGATATGGAGAAGGCGACTCAAAGGAGGTTTTGGTGGAGTTCTTCTTTATTAAAAGCGTAGTTATTTATTATTTACCTATTAATGAGATTGCTGGGTAACTTTGAACTTAAAGGTTCCCATAGATGCGATGAAGCCAGAGGACCTTAAAAGCTTCATTTGTCTTCGATGCTTACTTGGGAAGATGTTCATATCTCAATATTTCATCAAAGCTATTCCATCTCAGTGTGAGGATGGCTAACACAGCTTTACTTCTAGTTTGCTTTGGGGTTTACTTTGCCCATCTGGTTTAAGAAAGTACTGATTTTTTTTGAGATGTGGCTTGGTTGGGATGTTCAATTTCTGGTCTGAACTAATTACTTCTGTGACCTTGAGAATGAGATGCTCAATTAACCTCCCCAGCTCTCTCATTTCCTTATTCTTAAAAAGATAAGATTGGCCTATGAATCTTAAATGTCTCTTCCAGCTCTAAAATTTTATGATTCCATGTTTTTGAGATATCACGAATATTGTAAGGCCTCACCTTTATGTTTTAGTGAGGTTGAGAAGATAAAGCTTCATTTCATAAACATCTATTCTACATAGCATCATCTTTGAAGGTCATAACTGAAAGCTTAAAATTTAAGATTTAAAAGCATTCTGCTGAAAGAAGAGAATCAGTTACTAGCAACAAATAAAAAATGCCTTGTATTATATAGGCTAAGTGAGAGAGTGACATTGTAGAAAAGCCAAAGGGAATGGCCTAAAAAGATATTGGCTAAATTTTCCACATCCTATTTCTGGAACATAATTTTTTTCTAAATATATGTTTTAAAATAACTAGTAGACTAAATATCAATAGTAGAAAGGGAGGCCTCTGCACTGACTCTGTACTTTGGTGGGATACACGTTTAACCATGTTCAACAGTGAATGTCGAATTTTCCGCACGGTTGGAAAATGGATAGATTCTTTCCCACAGTTCGCTGTACTACTAAGATTAGCAAGCAGTATCAGGTGACACCGGTGAAAATGGATGGTTTTGATGTAAATTAAACTTTGACACGCCTGCCTGTTGACAAGGCTGTGTTTCACTGCAGTGCTTTCTGGAATGGTGAAGAGAAAGTTGTGGGGCAGGCAGTCCACGAAATTTTGGCCTGTGTGTTTGCCTAGAGGCTTTGGTGATAGAAATCTAAAAAGATAAACATATGTGTGAAAGTCATGCTGTCACTCTTGGTAAAGGCTATAAATGGGGTCTATGGCCTGCAGTAATTCTATAGGAGGCACCATGAATTGAATACAAATAACTCTGTATAGGCCAGTGACACACATGATTTGAGTTTATTTTCTAACTGAATCTCATTTTTGTTAATGATTGACATGAGCGAGTCAATATCAAAGTTCTTGAAATGCTTTTTTTCACTACTAAAATTTGAGAAACTAAATGACACCTTCTTCCTTCCTTCTCAGAAGGACCATCCATATCAAAACTGTGTTAGACTCATTTTATAAACTTTATCCTGTTTTGACCTGTAGGAGACATGAGCCTGGGTGATACCTTGCAAGATTCTTACAGTCTGCAAAGAAAGGTAAGGGGTGGGGATCATGCTTGTAACTCACTTTGTAAATGCACTTTGAGAGCTCACTGAAAGACAGTTTTATAGCACCCAACTTCCACACAACCTGGAGGCTGTTAAAATTGTGAGTTGCTATGATAAATTCCAAAGGCCCCCTTGCTAGAGCTTTCTGTTTTGCACAATGACAAGAGATGAGCCCTCAGGCAGATGTGTATTTGTCCTCTAGTCTCTGACACGAAGTCTAGACAAAGTTGGGTAAAGAAACCATTGATTTAAGAAAATTGACATAGAAACCATTTGAGAAACCCAACACCCCGAACCAGTTTCACTCAAGTGATGTAAATGCACCTTTCTCCAGGAAGTTGGGAGAGACTGGGATATTTTCTGGATCCATCATCTATCCACATAGTCATTTTGCTCTGCCGTTTGTTTGCTCTAATCAGGATAGGAGCTCAGTCCAGGTTCACCTCTCTTGGAATTGGCCAAAGTTCTTGTTTTAATGATGAGAAAAGGTCACACATTACCAGTCCAAGACCCCCTTTCAACTGTTAGCTGTCTGAGGATTTAATCACAGTGTTCTATGTTTTTCATCACAATAAATATCCAGCATGTCTGCCATATCAGAAGAGGCATAAACCTGCTGTAGTGATGCGTTTGAAGATGACTGGAAAGTGTGAAGGAGTCTTTAGCAAAAGAAGAGGAAGATGAGGCAGAGACTGGCTGGTCGGTCCCAGCTGTTGTCCCACCAGTAGAACCGCTAGCCCGCTTCCAGAGCAACACCACTGTCTTTGTGCTAGGCGCTTCCCCCAGGCAGCACAGGGCCCCTTTCCTTCCAGCATCAGCACACATATCAAGATCCCAGTACACAAGCTGTCAGAGGGAGGTCTGGACCGAAGGCACAGACAAGCCTGGTCAAAGAGGAATGGACAAGCAGGGCTCTGTCTTCCTAACGCAGGCCTGTTTGCAATAGATAGTCACCCAAGGAGCAAAACAAAAATCAGCTTGATTGATTTTTTTTTTATCAGATCAAAGGAATCCCTCTTTATATTTTATGATCTTTGTTCTGTATTTTGTCTGTCTCTGAGAAGACATCACCCAGCATAGCACTGGTAAGCCTGGCAGATAATTTTAGAAAACCAGACAGCAGAGAGCAGTTAGACTTAGTATTTAGGCTAGAAGTGTGTTCTTCACATTCAGCATGTCAAGCAGAAACGTATGTCTCAAAGGGGCATGCGACTTTCTAATCATCTACATTTATCTCATTAGATATTGAAACAAATAGTACTGAACTATAAATGCTGAATTCTGTGTTCCTTCTTCTGGATTTATTGAACTAAGACCCCTACTCCTTTTCTTAGGAGTTGCTTCGTTCTTAGGCCACAGTTTAGCATGTCAAAATGTTTGTTACATTATGCTTCAAAGACTGCTTCAATTATCTCATATGACAGCAGTTTCCCAAGTTTTGAAAAGACAACCGCTTTTTTATGCATGAAACACCTTTTACACTTGAAACTCTCAAACCTATGGCATTTCAATATTTAGCATTTCTATTCGCCAACAATTACATTCACAAATGATGCTGTAGCCTATTCCGTCCACAGCACAACAGATTCACATGACACTTCCATGTGCTGTGAACACTTGGTACTACATGTAAGCCAGTGGCATTGACCTAGGCAACAAATAAGTGTGTGATCTGTTCATTCTGGGGGGAAGCCTTTGTTTTCTACTCACAGGTGAAAGGACATGATGAGCTGGAAAGCTTTGTTGATTACTCTCTCATGCTGAGGGCTTAGATGTCTTGATAACTGTAACATCACATGAGTGCCTGCAGGCTCAGACAAGAATTCTCATCATACAAGGTGCTCACAGAGTAGCACCAGGTGATACCAACCATGTAAAGCAGGTGACTGTCACATCAAGAAACAGCTGTTGAGGACTCGTGACCCTGAATATGTGGCACAAGTCTCAGCCATTAAAAGCTCTCTTAGAGAAGCGCTTCTCAAACTTTGAAGTCCCAGGACCACCCATGCATCTTTTCTTGCCTTCCCTTCTTTTCCCTTCCCCTTCCCCTTCCCCTTCCTTCCTTCCTTCCTTCCTTCCTTCCTTCCTTTCTTTCTTTCTTTCTTTCTTTCTTTCTTTCTTTCTGGTACTGGGGATCAAACTAGGGTCAACCTGCGCTTGCCAGGCAGGCAGCAGAATCACTGAACTAAATCCCCTGCCATCGTGCATCCTTTCTGTATGCAGATGTTTCTGACATTGGCTCACGGACACACTCTGACACATACTCTGAGAAGTGTGCCATCGTAGCATGTTTGGTGAAGGCCACCCTGGTAGGTTCAATGTGGTCACTAACCATCTCCTTATCTAGGTGAGTATAAATAGATGTAGCATATAAAGTACAGGGTTTTTTGGAATTTCTCTCATAATTTTCTAGCCTTACTTTTATTCTAGGGAATTTCTGTAAAGACAAGAAGAGCAGATGAGAGCAAAAAAATGAACCTGAATGTTGTTTATTTCTGTGGGCAATGCATGAGTTGGGCATTTAATTCTCATTCAGTTTCTCTTTTCCACAAAAGTTGATTGATTTTACCACTTAATGAAGATCTGTGAGAAAACATTCAAGAAAATACTATATACAAATAGTCAGTGAAGTTCTGTGTATGCACCATTCCTATTCTATGGACAAGATTGTGTTTTCTCATCCTACCTTTGTTTTATTTCATCCACAATTTCCACTGAATTCTTGTGAGCCCAAGGAACTTTCCTCATGTCGATCCGGTGGCCATGCAACAGAAGAGAATTAGACTGACCACACGGGAATTGGACTCCAGCCTTGCTTTCATTAACACAATTCTCAGTTGAACTGCGCAAAACAACCAGCGCATTTGTAGCTGCCCAGGCTAAGGGAGATGAACGTCCTCTGCCTCTTTCTCCAGTTATTGAAGAGGTCTCCAACAGTCCCTCTGGACCATTGAGATGCATTTGCTTAGAGGAGCTGCCAGGTGAGCCCTGGCTTTGAAATTTGTTTGTGTCAAAGTCCAGGCTCACTCTGGTAAATCAAGGAGGCTTCTGGACAGTCTCCCCAGGAAATAAGATAATTGGGAATTGAAGTCTTGGGAGAGTGATAGCACAGCCCGGAACAGTTGGACACTATCTGTTCTTTATTGTCAACAGAGGTTTTTAAGACAGGAAAAGAGCCGGAGTATATCTTGGTTCTGACAAATCTCTACATAGGGCAAGGTCTGCAAAGATATCTGGCCAAAGAAATCATATTCATTCCCTTTTCTTGGTCAACCTAGCAAGCAAAACCTTACTCTCCCAGGGTGTGACAGTGCCAGGCATCACTATTTTGGTTTGGGTAGGTGGGTTTTGTATCATCTTGGATTTTGTAATTCTGGAGTTCATCTTCTGGATAGAAATCACCAGCATATACTTTAACACTCTGCAGCAGGAATTCACTGGAATTTTAGTTTTTATTTTCCTAATCATTTTTCCTTCATGCCAGGCTTCCCTAATCCAGCTTATCAGATGGATCTGAGTATTTACTAATCATTTTGTGTAACACAATTTTTGAAAAAAGCATAAAATTAGACATTGAAAATGGCATTACCTACATGTGGTATTGTTTTATGCAGAACAGTCCTCTAGTAAATAGTCTTGATTAAAATGGAAACCTTTTAAGTAATCATTGGGTATAAAATTAAATGGAATAAGTCTGAAGTAATGCAAGTCAACCAAAACGGCTTAACGCTGTTTTCTTCATTTCCCTCTGCTTTGTCCCCTGAAGAGGATAAAATTCTGAGGAGTATATTTGTGGAGTGCTGAGTGGTCACCTGAGGGCGCCTGAACCCCAGCTCCAGCTTCACCAACTGTCCTGGTCGCCTGTGCTCACGGTTGGTGATTCTCTCCTTGTGGATTTTGCTCAGGCCGTTGTGGTTGGAGACACACATCCCCTTCCTTTTTCTGAGCAAGGGTCCCTCAACCATGGGACCCCTGATGTTCTGGACCAGAGGATTCCCTGGAAAGGATATCTGCCCCATGCACTGAAGGGTCTTCTGTGGCATCCATGGATTCTCTGATCACCAGGTGCCAGAACCTCTCCTCCTCTTTCAATAACCAAAAATGACCGCAGACACTGCTGAGGGTCTCCTGCAGGCAATTTTCCTCTCTTGAGAACATTGCTCCAAGTCTTTTTCACTCCTCAAGCCCAAGTATCACCTATATAATAAAGTCTTTCTTAATCATACATATGAGCCCATGATGACTTTTCCATTCTGTTTATAAAAATGCAATGGTGCAAACAGTGTGTGTGCAAAGCAAAAGAAAATGAAGCAATACAGAACTGCATAGAGTAAGGGGATTGTGGCCCACACTTACCTCTTTCTTGATGTCCCTCTCTTTCCTAGAGGTAACCACTAGCAATACTTTCCAGGCTGTTCTAAACCATCAGAAGTCTAGAAGTGTTATCTTCTTGTTTCAAATTGCTTCCTTTTCATTGCTAGAGAGAATGAGAAGACTTTCATATTTTGTGGCCACTTTTATTTTCTCTTTTTGTATTTATTATTGTTTTCTTTAGTCCACATTTCAAATGAACTTTAATTAAAATATGTATGCATATAATGATGTTAAGTAATTTGCTTGTTATTTGGGTGTAGAATTTTCCCCTGGTCTATATAACTATATGTGTTGCTTGCTGTATATTAAATTTTTTGTAGACCCAAATGTCAAACTTTTCCTTCATGGTCACAGGATTTTATATGGAATTCCTTCCTTATCCTTGGGAATACATTCTAAGACCCTCGGTGGTTGCCTGAAACTTAAGATACTATCAAATTGTATACGTACTGTGCTTTTTCCTATATGTCCCTCAGGGCTGCCACTTTGTATTAGTTGGTCATTCCATGATTTATGTCTAACTCCTCCTTAGTATCAACACCTATGCATGATGGAGCCATTGTTAAGTAAAATAAAGGTTGTCCAAATAGAAGCACTGTGACACTATAAGAGTCAGTCGTATAACTGGGAAGGCTACTATAGGACTAAGAGTTGAGTAGCACATACAGTGTGGACACTGGATGAATGTGTGATCCACATTTCAGGCAGGAGGGAATGGGACAGTGAGAGATTCCATCACACTCCTCACAAAAAGCAAACCACTTAATACTTACAAACTCTGTTTTTCTGGAATTTTCTATTTAGTGTCTTCAGATTGTGGTGGATTGCAGGTAACTCAATTCATAGGAAACAAAACCTTGGGTAAGGGGGAGGCAACTATGATTTATTTACAAAGGGTTTTGTTGTACAAACATATTAAAAGGATCCCATTTTTCTTCACTTTTATAATTTTCCCCCTACTTGATTTATAGTGAAAAGTAAAGATTTAACTTTCTTTCCCCTTTCTCCCAAATGAACAGCTTTGTCAGTTTAGACTAGTTTCAGATCAGTGAAAAACAGTCTGAAATCTTAGTGGCATACACCTTCTCAGATTGGCTAAGGTGTGCTTCTTGTCTTCTTTATTCTAGCTCTTTAAGGTTTAAACTTTATCTAGAACATGCTAGCATAGGAAAAGGAGATGTAGGTCTGTATGTCGATAACTGTGTTTCTGCTCCTATGTGGCTAACCACGTCACTTACATTATACCGCCCAAAGCAAATGAGATAAATGAGATGACCAACACTAATATCCACCAATGGAAAGCACAGGCGCTTTTTGACTTAGAGTGGGGTTATAACCCTATAGTTGCATCATAATTGAAACTATCTCAGCACATTTAATCCACTTCATCTACCACACATCAAAATATCTCAATGAGTTTAATACATCTAACCTGCCAAGTACCATAGTTGGGCCACATTTCCCCTCTTGGTCATGTTACTGGCTGGGGGTTGTGGCTTGCTGTCTGCTCAGCTTCATAAAGGAGGATTGTAGCACTTAATGCTAACTGGGAAAGTTCAAAATTTTAATTTAAGTTTCTACTGAATGTGTATCACTTTTACATTATCACAAAATGAAAAAAAAAAAAACAAGTCAGAACATCATAGAGAAGATGTAAGGAGAGAAAGAAAAGAACCAATCAGCGTACTGCATTCTTGACTGGACAGGTGGGTGCTCTATTCTTGACCCCACCATTTAAGAGGCAACATGGAAAGCAATTAATTATCCTTCCTCAGAGACAGAACTGGTGGAAATGAGCTCAGAAGGAGCAGTGAACCCCTCTAAAGTAATGCAATCTACCCAAAGAGCTCATTTTCCTAACACTTTTAATGGAGTATTCCCTTAACTTTTTATTGATATGCTGTGCCACTTATTTGGAATTGGCTTATATTGTTTTGTGATAGTATTATTTATCTTTTCATGAGTATATTTTTTCTCTACTATGTAAATTCCTTGAGACAAAGCACTGTATCCTATTAGAATTTATGCTTGATCATTCAGTGAATGTTTAGGAGTTTGGAAACCATCTAGTATCATTGTGAGGGCAATCAGTGAATAAACGCCCAAGATGCAGATCAAGGCACACAGCTCTCTACGCAGCCTGGAAACAGTTGTTTACGTATAGAGATTTTTAAATAATATCTGAATTCTCAAAGTCTCATGTTCAGAAACTCTTGCCCTCCAAAATAACCAAACTTCTGGGTAAAATAGGGTTTGGCCAAATCCCTCCCAATTTGTGCACTATCAATATAAAAATTGATAATGATGAATGCAACTGTAATTTATACCTAAAATGTGCCAACAAACTTAATAAAAAATACCCGAAAGAACAAGCACTATTTTAGTAGGAAATATTAACATTTAAAAAGGAACATCAAATTTTCATTACATACAGATATACCTAAATTTGGATCAAGCTTGATCTTCTGAGAAACTGGATGCCTAGAGGCAGAAAAGTATAGGGAAATGTTAACCTGCCGACTTTAGAGATTAAGAAGAGAAAGCACAAAGGTGGAAGACAAGCCCATATAAACACTTCCCCAGTGTAGGTGGTCATACCAAGACAGAAGGAAGATGAACGTCCAGTGAACGAGGGTCCGAACACCACTCTAGGCGTCTGTGCTTGCTCCTTTCAGCCACACTGGTGCGCTTTGTGATCCACTTTTACTTGGTGGTCACAGACAGGAGACGCCTGGGAAACTGCTTAGGAAGAATGTCACTTCTTTGTTCTCCTGACATCATTCCCCTTTCCCAATTGTAGATGAGCTAATTTGCATTGCAGCCGCAGACTGTGCATTCAGCAGCACGGATGGATTTTAGCAATGTAATGTTGAGATGAAAAGGTAAGAAACAGTGGGGAATTTATTGCATAATACTATCTATGTAAATTAAAAGCACCAACAGAGCACTATGTATTTTACAAGGAAACACACAAATTTAAGAACCCTTTTCAAATGCATTAGAAGAGGTAGGTGTCTATGGGGTGGAACAAAAATTAAGATGAGCACAGATACAAGAGATTGAACACAATGCTAAGCACGAGAGGAGAAAGGATTCCACCAACCACAGATGAACAGCCTGGCTGCATACTTCAGAGCATACCTGAGAGCAACCACTCAACAGTCTGCTGTTCCCAGTACAGCAATGGGCAATAGAATAGGTATTTTATACACATCTTCTATTGGTATAGTGGTTACCCAACAAGAGGAGGAATCTAGTCCATTCAAGTGAGTTTACAATTTCAATGTATCAAATCTTGACTGCTTTGATCCTGATCTCCAAGACCAGACAAGGCCCATGTTCCCATCCATGCATAGCTATCATGGATCTTATATAGTTGAATGCTAAATGATGAATGTTAATGTGTAAAGCATGAAATTTTACACTACATCAAAATCTATACGATTATGCTGAAAAGATTTTAAATATAGCATTTACTAAAGATGTGTAGTTTAGAATGGTTTCTACTCAATTCGATTTCTTTAGTGTGTGGGGCCTGTGGACCTACATTAATTTTCATAGCTGGTAGACACAGGAGCTGCAGGCTTATACCTTGCCAGTTTGGAGCCAGTGGTCCTTCTGCCCTGTGGCAATGGTGAGCACCCAGGAACTCTCAGGGAGACTTGGCTCACAATGGCAACCTCAGACATCCATGAGTGTGCTCAGTGGGATGACACAGCAGAGTCGTGTGGGCAGAGTTTAATGCACTAAAGACACACTTTGTGCTTTTTAGAAAAAGCCATAAAAGGAGCAGTTTACTCAGTATGTATCCTCCACATTAATAGGTACCCTTTCTTGATTGTTTTCCCTCTCTCACAGTGTTCTACGTTCATACATTGAAAGAACGAGATTGAAAGATGACTTACAGACCTCTACTGAGAGGGCTATGTCTTTATATTTTTTCCTGTACCTATCATTGTCTGAGCAATAAAACCAGGAGCACTGATTTTAAAAGTAGAATATTAATTAGATCCTCAGGTGTCATGCATTTCACAGTACTGCTTTTCCTGAGATGGATCTGGACTTAGGATCCTCATGTAAGCCACAAATAAACAGAGTTCTATAAAGCACAGTATTACAGTATTAACACCTGCACAGGTAGCTTAAACAGAAAGGGGAGAGTGGAGAATTTTTTTTTTGAGTTATGCTTTTCCTAAAACATGGCTATTATTTTGGGCTTTTTATACTAAATTGTCTTGAGGAAATATTCTCTTTTTTCTCTGTAAAATAAGAGACAAAATACACTTAATGTTTTATGAAAAAGAAATAAATGAAATATAGTTTTATTTTTTTGACTAGAATTACTGGAAATAATGACTTAGATAAAAACATCACCTTTGTCTCAGGAAAAGATAATAACATTGAGTAGTTCTTTCTTTACTGTATTATGTCCCTCTCTGCTTATAGCCTCACAGGGGCTGTGCCTTCAATTTCTTATTGTTCTATGAAAGAGTGGGGAAATCTTCCCAGGACATTTGTGTCTTCTTGAGAGCTGCCTTTTTAAGAGTCTCTGTGTCCATAGCTGTCATGTGAGGAGGGAATAGGAGCTCTCAGAGAAGGCTTCGATCAGTGCTCCCATCTGCCAATACTTAAAAACACACAGTTCAAAAGGTGTAGAGCCAGCATGGCACCGCTAATTACTCTTTTACCTCAATGGCTGGAGAACTCTGCACTAATACATTTTTACTTGTGAATTAAAAATGGCAATGTATTGGTTTGATGCTGTCAGAATAAAATCTGCATTACCAAAATTTCACGAGCTGGAAGATTAATTATATTTGTACAACCTTTTTTCCCTAACCAGTCACCAACAAATTGTAAATGTGTTTGGAGTCTTACTTGGGAAATAATTTGGGGTCATTATCTCAAATAGAGTGCTGCTAATTTTGTTGGTCCTATCAACGTGCTGATTGCAATACTTTGGCTTCATTGCTCAGAGATGGGATTGTATTAAAGTCTTCTGAGAAGAAAACCAAACGTGTTTAACTGTGAGATTAACCTTCACAGAGTCAACAAGATGCCTAATGAATAAACCTACCACATTATATTTAGTATGACTTTATGAAAACAACACCAGAGCTAACTGACAATATAATGGATGGTTTGTAAGAACTACCTCAGTGTGTTTTTTTCCTTCTCTTTGTCTTTGTTGCAGGATCAGGGTTAAGCTCAGTTTTTGCCTAATCTTTAGGTCCCACTCAAGGAGCCAAGCCAGGACTGGGCAGCCGTGTTATTAAGGAGAAAGTTCTCATTCAGGCAATCGACTGAACTTGACTGCATTGGTATCAATTGTAGGTATATTATTGTATTCATTTTACTAAAGGGCACGTCACTTTTTTTTCCTCCAGGAATTTTTAGCAAGTGGTTAAAAATAACCTTTACGAAAGGTTATATTACTGCTGAGGCCTGGCCAAACCTTTTGGATGGAAATCTGCATCCATCATACTCACACCTGTCAAAGTAAGTCTAGTGAGCAGTCCGGTAGACAT